CGCAGCGAGAGCAGGAGGCTCGGCTGCATCTCGGGGTCCCCACTGGGTGCTGTCCGCCCACTGGCAGAGAGGGCCTCCTCGCCAGCCCCTCCGCGGCGCCGCAGACGAGCAGGCGGCTTCGCCTCGCCGCTCGTTCCGGGGGAAGGCTTTGGCGGCCGGCTTCCCCTCTCGGCGCGCTGGGCAGGGCAGGCGGCGGCGAGCTGCAGCCCCGCGCAAAGTTTCGTCGCCGGCTTTTTGCCCCCCTCTCCCTGCCTGCCTCTTCCCTTTCTCCTTTGTGTGCGTAAAAAGCTGCCCGCGCCTAGCGCCGCCGACTCGGGATAGCAAAGCGCAGGAGGGCCACCACCACCACCACACACACACTGGGCGGGTGCCAGAGCCGAGCAGCAAGTGCGGCTCGCCAAGTGGAGGAGGAGGAAGAAGAAGAAGAGGAAGGCGAAGGAGGCAGTTGTGAGGGGGGACGGCGGCGCAGGGAAGCCTCCGAAGTTGAACTTCCGAGGGTCTGGCGGGGACTGAGGGGGAGGGCGCAGGCGCGCGCGCACAAGACGGAGAAATGCAAACCCAACTCCGTCCGCCATTCTTCAGCGTCTTCACGCGCCTCCGAACAATTCAGTCGACTTTGCGGGGCGTGGGATCAACTCGCAGCGACCCAGGGCAAAGGGAACTGGAAAACTGTTAACTAAATAAATAAAAATGACCAGATGAACCCCTTCCCCATATGCCAGGGGGGTCTTTCTTTCTTTCATTCATTTCTGCTTTTAAAGTGTTTGGCTCTCATTTGTTTGCTCCGAAATCCCTTCCCCGCGCCCGCTTCCTTCTCCATTTCCCCTGTTCCCAGGGCAGCAGGGCGACAAGAAAACCGAGAAATAGCGCTCGGGAACCGTATCGAAAGAAGGGTGCGAAACTGCCCGTGACCCTTTGAGGCGCAGAAGGGAAGCTCTTCTACTTTCTCTCCCCCCTCCGTGAAAATTCCCTCAAACTGCGGGAAGGGTTTCTCTCCCGCCTGCCCACTTCCCCTCCGTTCACTTTCCAAAAGGAAGAAAGAAAAGAAGAAAAGTGCTGTTCTTTTGTCTGGAATCCGAGGGCTTTCGGAAATTCTCGTGCCAGGGTTCGCTCACACGTTATGAGCATTTGATGGATCTCCCTGCCTGGCAGCTGTGGAGAAGGTTACACGGTGGCAGGACTCCTCTTTCGGCCTCATTCAAAGATGCAGTTTAAGGGGAAATGGAGAGGGATCCTGTAAACGTTACATCTTACCTATCCCTCCTAAAAGGTAACAGCTCTGGATATCAGAGCGGGAAATGCTCCTTCCCTAACATTCACAATTGCACAGGGGTTATATTGTCCCCTTGGTTTTTAATAAGTACTGGGACTCTATTATAACACCCTCAAAGGATCTTGAGGCATGTCCTCTCTTTTATGCAAACAACAATCTTGTGAGGTAGACACACCCAATGAGCATGACTGCTGAAAAGGGATTTTGAAAGCAAGTCCTCCTTACCCAACACGGTCCACTACAACTGTCCATAAAATTAGCACCTCGCATCGAATGATCCATAGAAAGGACTGTATGAACTAAAAACAATTTTAAAAGCCCACTGTCCACTACAATACGCACACACCACAATTAAATGAGAATCCTTTGGGCTGCTTAGATTTTTCTTTGTTACATAACTCATAGTGCTTTTGCCTGTATTAAGACTACAGTGGTTTGGCTTATTCTGGTTATACCTGAAGGCCTTGTACTTTTATAGCTTCACACACACTTAGGGCTCATCCACACTTTGATTTGGTCCATGACATCTAAGCATAGTGTAGTAGATTTTTCTTTTGTCCTGCTGCTTTCCCTGAGAAAACCCGCCACTCACCGCTGAATTTGCCAATCACTGCAAGTTTGTTCCAATTCAGCGGTAGACAGTGAGTTTTCCTGGGGAAAGCAATGGAACCAAAGAAAAAATAACAACTATAGGACAAAGGGAAGTCTGGATAAATGTACACAGAGCGAGCTGAGTGTACAGCACTGTTTGACAAATTTGATGCTTAATTTCCATCCAGAAATTGACCACAACACATAAACATTATCAATATAATTATGGTTCGGTTAATGTTAGTTTCTTATTTTGTTCACTTTATACCCATGAAGGATTTCTTAGAGTGTTATCTAAGTTCCTGTACATAAGTTATAAGTGGGTGCCCTGTACAAACAGTTGGGGAGGCTGGGGATCCGAACCCCTCCCCAACCCCACCTCTTCACCAGACCTGACACCCATGTGTTCAATATCACATCTTCACTGAAGCCCACACTCATACATCCTATTGTGTGTCTGATCACACATTGCCCAGGGGGTCAGCTGCACATTTGGCACCCCCATGAGAGTGGCATGCTCTGGCACCAGGGGGGGGGGGAGGAGTGCAGGTGGGGGTGGGGCTGGCACACGTCCCGGGGGTGGGGCACGCTGCCTGCAGTGGCGGGGCCAGCCGCGATGGCACCCCACCGGGATTGCACTGCCAGTGGCAGTGCGCTCCCCCCGCACTCCTCTTCCTCCACCAGTGCCCCGTGAATTGGGGCATACGTGTGTAGGACTTTTGGCAGAGAGGACCATCATTATGTAGGAGCACAGAGCTAGAGTCAGCAGGCACATTCCCAACCTCACAGATGCGGGCTAAACATTTCAGGCCACAGAGCTCAAGTCTTCCAAAGAATGGTGTTATTTTCATGCTAGTTCTGTTCTAAGTTTTTGTACAGCTGTCCCAGGGGGGAAATATTTGGGTATAGGAGGGAAAGAAAGACTTGGGGGAATCTTCAGAAGAAAATGATGGGGAATCATTTGCAACTTTATCCAGCAACACCAAGAAGAAGAAGAAGAGTATGAAAATTTCAGTCACTGGCATATTATGAAGCATAACTTTATCTACTATGTCAGAACTTATAGTCATTACTGTTGGAAGGGTGTGTGGTCAGATTGGGTCATACTTTCACCTTTGGTGAGAATACACAAGCATGAAGAAGTTTGGGAACATGGTTGCTGATTACCGACAGAAATTTATCCACATTGAACCTCAGATAACTCCCCAAACTATGCTTCTTCGTCATTTCGAAGCTAATGACCCTGGATTCGGGCAGAAAAGACCTCCTTAAGCAACTGTATGCAACTGCAGAGTTGTGTATAGCACATAATTGGAAGTCTCCAAAGCAACCACCTACACAGCAGTAGATTGCTAAAATTTGGGAGACTGTCATTATGTAGAAATTTAACCAGCAAGTGCAGCAAGCAAATAAACCTTTTTTAAAACAAATAATAATAATATGAATATTTTTTAGAAAGCTATTATGGCTCCATGGCTTCCATTTATTTCCACTGCGGTAGTCCTTCATCTTCTGATCAGTTCAACTCAAGTCCATATTTTTTTTAAAGATTATGAGATATGTAACCTGTGCAATATAATTAGTAAGCCAAATGCTCCACGAGCATGATAAACTAAGAACAATTATCATCGAGTTTCATTATTCCTTTGGTGTTCTTTATTTGTGTGCATATGTTTAACAGCCTGTATTTTTGACTGTGCAAAAAGTGTTCAGTTCTCGTTTTCAGCAACATCTGTACAGTTATTTATTATTTGCTGCTGCCTTTAAAATCCCACCTTTACTCCAGTGAGCTCAAGGTGGCACATGTGGCTCTCCATCTCTCCATATTATCTTCAAAACAGCCCTATGAGGTAGGTTAGGCTGAGAGTTGGTGACTGGCCAAGGTCTTACCATGAGCTTCTTAGTTCAGATCGCATTCAGATTCTAGTTTCAATTTAATGTAATTTGTAGTTCTGGCCTAAGTGGGTATAAATTCTGTACCACAAGTTTTCATGTAAGGGAAGATTCATGTTTTGTTTTGTTTTGTTTTGTTTTTTTAATATCAGTGGGTCTTAAACAAAAACAAAATTCTGGTCGTGTGAACGTGTAAAAATATTTTGGCTTCAGAGCTGCTTTCAGGAATGGCACCTGTGTATTAACGCCACGGGTACAAAATAATTGCAGCTCTGAGCACAGGTGATACAACCATATCACAACCACGTCCTGTTTTTTCTGGCCATGCCCTCTTTTTTTCCTCCTGCAGCAATGATTGCAAAAGGCTAAATTGTTGTTTAAAAGCCTCCAGTATTAGCTCTGTTGTGGCACCATTAATTGCCCTAGGGTCATTCTTCTGGAGTGAGTTATTTCAGCTTCAGGACCAGTCCTCCTGTATTAGCTCCATTGTGCCACCACAAATTGCCCTGGGGTCGCTTTCCCTGAGTGAGTTATGCAGTTCACACCAGAAAAATGGGGTTGTTCGATACTCAGAGAAACCTGCAATGAAAGCTTTTTAACAGTGTGAGCCTTCAGAGTTGCAGCCATCTTTCTGCTCTGTTGACACAACTGAGTTTTACTATGTAGAAAAACGGAGCAGCAGTTTTAAAATGAACTTATTTGAAGTAGTTAAGAGGGGGCTTTCCATTCTTCAGGATGTTATCATCCTTGATATTTTCACAGCGTTGAAGTCTTGGGTTTTAAGCATAGTCTGAAGCTGTTTAAGAGGTATTCCATGCTTCAAAATAACATCCACCATGAAAATTAGGAAAGTGATTTATTCAAGAGTACTGCTTCTTATTGCTGTAAAATACTGCCAGCGATCTTCAGGTGTGTCCTAGCATCCAAATATGTTGACTGTTCCCACATGAACAATGAACCAGGCTCTGAGGAAACTGTTAGAATGAATTTACACTGAATATCCCATTTTAGGGGTCCACTTAATACCAGATCGAAGTCAGGGCAGTGTCAGAAAGCAAAAGTTGAAGCCACAAGATGTATATATGATATTTGCCAAACATTTATGTTTTGTAACTGCTACAGTTATAACTTAGCAGCAGCATGTTTGCTTTCTGACTACAAAGGTTTGTTGTATCCTCTAACTTAAATCCAGAAAATTCTGAAGCAAAATGGTCTACAGACAGCTCTTACCTTCTATCACTGGGTTTTCAATAAGGAAAGCACTTGTTTGGGAGAAGTAAATCAGCATATTGTCTGGACGTGATAACAGCAGGCACTAGAGGAGGCAGAGGCATGATAAGCATTGTATAAAATTATGTATCATTTGGAGAAAGTAGATAGACATTTTCCTCCATCTCTCAGAGTTGCTTCTTTACATTGAACATGGTTAAACTACCACAAGATCACCACCATCTTGGATGGCTTTAAAGTGGGGTTAGGGACGCGGGTGGCGCTGTGGGTAAAACCTCAGCACCTAGGACTTGCCGATCATCAGGTCGGCGGTTCGAATCCCCACGGTGGGGTGCGCTCCCGTTGCTCGGTCCCAGCACCTGCCAACCTAGCAGTTCGAAAGCACCCCCGGGTGCAAGTAGATAAATAGGGACTGCTTACTAGCGGGAAGGTAAACGGCGTTTCCGTGTGGTGCGCTGGCTTGCCAGATGCAGCTTGTCACGCTGGCCACGTGACCCGGAAGTGTCTGCGGACAGCGCGGCTCCCGGCCTCTAGAGTGAGATGAGCACACAACCCTAGAGTCTGACAAGACTGGCCCGTACGGGCAGGGGTACCTTTACCTTTTTAAAATGGGGTTAGACAACTTCATGGAAGATAAGGCTATCAATGCTTACACAATTTTTTTTAAACTGCAGAATATATGGCATTTTCTTGAGCATTCATACTACAAAAAAGAGAGTAATGGTAGCTAAAGGATACATAGCCATAGGGAAATAGATATGTGGATTACGGAAAGAGTTCCTTAAGATATTTGATGTGGATCATGAGGGGGAGGAAAGGGAGCTCTACAGAGCACAGGCGTTCTCTGACTGCTAGGATGGCTCACACAGGTAAGTTACTGCTTCTAAAAGACTAGCAGGTAATGCCTGCACATTTTAAAGTTCATCTCCAAAATACGGAGACCTAGAAACCTGATTGTTTCTCACCTTCAGTACAGAACACCAACTCTTGATAGATATAAATTGTTCAAAAAACATGGCAGAACCCAAAAGATGCTAGACACAAAACTGACTTCTTTAATTATTTGAAAACAATACTCAAGACAATACTGATTTTCAATAGCGTATTTCTCTAGGCTGAAACACTACTAGCCCTGTAGAGATTTCTCAGTCAGAGTCTGTATATATGAAATGATGGATCAAATGCATTATGGTACCCATATTATGTAAAAATGTATTCCTGGTTTCTAAAGTTAGGTGCTAGTGCAGATAAAGAATCTGAAAAGCGAGTTTGCTGATAGAGGGGCAGTTTCTGACCTTTGTGCAGTCAGAGAACGGGAGCAAGACTGGGTCACAAACCTTGCAACAATAAACAGGGATTATTGTGTTTGCTTTTCTTTTGCTAGGATAAAGAAGAGAAATTCCTTCTTATCTATTAGCTGTCAAGAAAGAAAGAAAGAAAGAAAGAAAGAAAGAAAGAAAGAAAGAAAGAAAGAAAGAGGGTCAGCTCAGAGTGAAAGTTTTGCCTCAGTAAGGACTGTAGATATTTGTGTTTTCTTTCTTCCACAGACAGCATAAGGAATCATTGCTTTAGAAATAATATTTCTGTGCCAAAGGAATTGTGTAATCTAAAAACCAAAACTATAGCTAAAAACACAGCTATAGCTAAACACTGTTAAGTCCTATTGAATTAGTGGGAGAGTTAAGCATTTTCAATCACTGCAACCTAAAAGTGCATGTCTGGATAGCTGGATTGCTGCACTGCACTTTTGGCTGAAAAACAGAGATATCTATAGAGTTACTTAATGTTGATTAAATCCTAGTTAATGGGATCAGAGCCGCAATAGGAAATGGGTCTTGGAATAATGTTTAAAAGCCACTAATTAGATATTTCACTAATTATATATCCCCACAATTTTTGCAATAAGTATACAAATATTTAGCAAAGTTCAAGTGTCATTTCCATCTGATCTCAGTTGCTGATATTGTTTGTGAAGTATATAACCCATTTTTGACATCATCTTGCTTGTGCTTGCAATATGTTATTTGTGTGAGAGAGAGAGAGAAAGGGAGAAAGAGAGAGAGAGAGAGAGAGAGAGAGAGAGGATATTGATCTGGGATAAAATGTTACAGAAAACAATACGCACCAGCCCCACCAAAATAATGGTGAAATATATATATGACATGATATAATTCTTAACTAAAATACTTCATCCTTACAGCTTGTTATAAAATGGAAAGTGTTATATTTACTTCTCATATTTATTGCTGCCCACTTTTTGTTCCACTTGGACTTGACATTAGAGGTGATTTATATGTTACCCTGGAACTGCTTGCAACTTTTGTTTCTTGCTCACGTTAATTCACACAAGGTGGCCATTCACAGATTTCAGCCTCGGCAATGCCTGTGATCTCTGATGCTCCAAAAACGGATGCCAATCACAGCTGCTGCTTTAGTTTTCCGTGCGCTAAGGGCTGCTTGCACGCCAAATTGTTCATATGGAGGAAAAAGTAACCTGTGAAAAGTATCCTGTGAACTAGATACTAAGAGCATATAGATATTCCCTTTATCACAGAGTCTAGAGGTGATGTCCTGTTCAGACTTACACAAGTTGCCTTCACATAATAACTGTGCTTCATCATGGTATGATCCCAATTTTTATTTTTGTCCCATTTTGCCCGACTCACCATGCCACACTTCTAGGGGCATCACAACAATTTGGTAAAGTCTGGTTTTATTTGCCATGGGCCATGAGCTTGCCATGACACAGTTTAGAAGTACTGCAGAGTTCACAGACTCCGCAAAGGTTACCCACAGAGAATGGAAAGGCATAGAATGAATGCACACCCACACAAATAAAACAACCCAGTCGGCCTTTTGCACAGAGAGTGTAGCATGGGGCCAGTGAATTTCAAGCGCAGGGCCATTTCAATCAAAACTATTGTGATGTGTGTGTATTTGTCTGGGTTGTGGGGTTTTTTTTGGGGGGGGGAGGGAGGGGTAGAAAAATCCAGCTCACTTTCTCTAACACAATTCTATTTAATTTTAGGTTTTGTAACATTTCCCTTCATGTCTGCTATACATGCAATTCGGGTTGATCCAGTAGGAACAATTCAAATACCTACTGGATAAAGCACTTGAGAAGACTAATGGCCAATCGTTATGGATTATTGCCATGATTCTCAAGGAATTGTATACAACTTCGCTGTGTATGGGCTCTAATGAAAGGGTTCCTGACAACACTTTCAGCCAATTGTACTGACAGCTGCATTCTTGGGGAGAACACATTTCCAAAAGGTGATTGAACCTATCTGACAAAATGGGTCAAATTGCACTCCCAGTTACAGCCACACAACACTCTTCCCTGCTAGACAGATAAATTGCTGAGTATGAGCAGCTACTTTGGGAGAATACATCTTGGTACATGTTATATCTCCTGCCATGTGAGCAAAAAATCATTAAAGCCTTTCTTCTGGAAGCAGTTGCAAGCATGAAAATGGACAGGGGTGCAAAATTCAGCAAAATCTGAGCATTTATCTTTCATTTGCTTATGCAAGTTTCTAGCCCTTAAAAAAGGTTTGATATAAACTACAGCATGCCACAAATAGAAAACAGATTCAGTGCAGAAGAAGACATAGAAACAGCTCCAGAATGCTCCAGAAAAGAAGCCAATCTATATGTTTACATAGTAAACCAAAACTAAAAGGTCTCATTCCCAGCCAGTATTACCAATGATCAGGGATGATAGGAAGCATAATACAACAACATCTGGAGGTACCAGGTTGAGAGAGCAGCTAACCCATCAGAATTTGGAAAATCCTCTGGCCATTTGATAAGTTTCAAGAGCTTTCAACACCTCTCCACCCTGTTCTGAAGCAAATAACTGACTTGCTTGATGTATTGCATACCACTCACTAAGGTTGTACAAATGTTGAATCACACTTTAATCCACTTTGGCTCTAAACCAAATTTAAGTGTCTTTTTCTGGCAATAGATCTTCCCAATAGGCTACTATGTCTGGATTCAGTCTAGTCTGATTGAATAATGCTTTGCTTTTGCCTTTGCATGTTGGAACAAAGACTCTTCCAAGCTTCAACTGCGCCCATGGATGAGCGAACATGGTAAATCATTCTGTGTATACTGACTAAAGTGAAATATGCCAAGGATGCACCCTTAAAAGGCACACTAGGATTTTTTTTTAATTATTATTATTATTATTATTATTATTATTATTATTATTATTATTAAAAGATATTTATATACATCATAAGCATTAACATTTCCAAGCAGTGTACATAGAAATAAAGCATACAGAAAATAAAGCAATAAATAGCCATCACAAAACGAAACACTACCTTAAAATGCACAAGGCAACAAGAATGTCTTTGTCAAGTTCAGCTAGGAAGATGCCTGTCTAAACTCAGTTGGGAGGGAGTTCCACAGGATTGGATCCACAGCACTGAATGCATCTGAGTCACGGGGAACCACCAACAGAAACCCCACAAAAGGTCTCAGTGAACAAGCAGGAACAAACGGGATTGAGCAATTTGTAAGACATTTGCAGCCCAAACTATTAATGCCCTTGTAAGTAAGGGTACCTTTACCTTTACTTTAAGTTAATACAAAAACAATGAACCTGGCCCAGTAACATGTGGGCAGCCAGTGAAAGCTTTTTAGCATCAGGGTTATGTTCTAGTGGTAGTCCCCATCAACAGACTAGCTGTAGCATTTTGTACCAGCTGGAGCTTCCAAACCAAGCATCGTCTAAAGCACACTGTGATAATCATGTCCTGTCTTTTGCATCCAATGTTGATACAATTGTTTTAAGTGGTGAGGTATGCATCAACAGAGTTGCATTTTCAAATGCCAATGCCAGCTCCTCTTGCATAAGATGCATTCAGTGGTGCTCCCTTCCGGATTTGGGCCACCTCCCCTTCATTGCTTCTGTCCAGGGACGCGGACTTATAAAAAATATTGGGGGGCCCGGGAAAGCTCATGAATAATAAATAAGCTCATGAATATGCAAATAAAGTGGCGCCGCCTCCTCGTGAGCGAATAGGGGAGAGCGTGCTGCGCCTATTAATCAGCTCCAAAGGAAATTGGGTG